CTCCGGTCCCGGCATCTCTACAGGGCATTCAAGGGAGCTTTAAGTAATGCACTTAAGGTTGGCGGACTTCCCCACCTCAAGCTGACACTCGGCGCCGGGCAGCATATTTTTAATGTCTGCTCCGTGCAAGAACTGACAGTGCTGCGCTAGGGGGAGGCTGAGGAGCCTCTCACCTAGAGTAGTGGAAGGCACAGGGTGACCCTATGAACACGGGGTTGCAACCCACTTTTGGCTCGCGATCCACCGGTTGAGAGCTGCACTAGAGCAGGCCTTTTTAAACTTTTTCCATTCGTGACCCCCTTCCCGCATGAGGAAATTTTACGTGATACAGGTATATAAAATGTACTAATAATAATAAAATCATAAGATAAATGTAATGTAAAACAATTCTTTGGTATACATATTTTACCATTTATTAAAGATGAAAGCAAATTTGCATTCTAATGAGATGAACTTGTTTTGTTTTTTTCCTTATAAGGTTTCAAAGACATTGCAGGAAACTGTAAGCAAGAGCAGAGCTTAGACACATAGTCTGATTCTGTCCTGACAACCTGGGCAAAGATTGCTCAGTCACAGTTTCCAAGTCAAAAAATTACTTTTAAAGCCCAACTCCATAGAAAACTGTGCTGTGTTCCCTGCTCACCCAGCCCCAGAGTAGACATCTGCTTACCACTTCAGCAGCCTCCGCTCCCAACTGAATCTTGCCATGCTCTGCAGCACTTCCGTCCACTAAAAGGCAAGCTCCACCCCCCTGCACGTACAGAGGAAGGTACCAATACTACCAATTGTACAGGGGGGACCAGGGCCATACCAAGTTACAACCCTAGCCCTGTGCGCCGCAGAGGTGGCAGACCCCGCAAGTGCCCCACTCATGGACAGCGGTGTCCGTGTAGAGACAATTTACCAATCCCTGTTGGGAATTCAGATTTTTCATTGCGACCCCCCAACTTTCAGTTGCTGGGGTCACGACCCACACTTTAAGAAGCCCTGCACTAGAGCATACAGGTATGATATCTGCGTGGTTAGTGCACACTATTGCACAGAGCAATGCACCATACACTCGGTGCACTGCATTGCTATTCATTCTGAATAGCACCCAACGCACCTCCTGGCGGGTGTGGCTTGCAACGCACAGTACCACAAGTGTGTGGTGCTGTCAAAAAAAATTGTGCATCCATCATTTTTTTCTCTACACAACACATGCCATTGTGGTACTGTGTGTCACAGGTAGGTGCACTGGAGTACCATTCAGAATGAATGGCAATGCACCTAGCATGTGGTGCATTGCACTGTGCGATAGCATCTCCTACACACCCAGATACCGTACCTTCAGTGTACCACCCTAAGCCCTGGTTCACACCTAGGCGTTTTTGGACCAGTTCGAAAAGCGCTTTTAACTGCCGACCACAAGATTTCCCATAATTTTCAATAGCCGTGGTTCACACTTGAGCATAAAACGCCAGAAGCCTGAAAAGATACAGAAGCTTCCCTGGGCAGGTAAAAGCGCTTTTCCTCCCCATAGACTTCATTGGAAATGCCCAGAAACGCACAACAGAAGCATGTTGCACATTTTCATGAGCGTTTTTGCACGTTTATACACACGTTCTTCCTTTGCCCACAATGGTTTCTGAGCTGCCAATCAAAATGCGCATCTTCATGTAAATGCGCACATAACCAGGGCTAAACGGCCCTGACCTGCATGGTGTAAAGATTGCAAAGAGGAAAGTAAGAAGCATTTGTTACACGAGAGACATATTCAGGCCCGGATTCCCCACAAGGCCACCGAGGAAAGGCCTCGGGGCGGCAGGGCGCAGAGGGGCGGCAGCGGTGTGGAATCCCCCGACGTCCGGAACATAAAGTTCCGGGCGCCTGGCGGTAAGTTCCTTGACATTTAGTCCTGCTTTGGGAAGGCAGGACTAAATATAGTGTGGGAAGCTGCTTGTTCGTTTACAAGTGATCGCCGCGATCACTTGTAAAATGTATGCAGCCTGTCCGTCCTCTCCTCCCCACCCCCACCCCACTGGAGGTGACAGGGTCAATAAAGAGAACCTGTCATCTCCAAAGGCTATCACACAGGGGCTTGTTAACTAGCTCCTGTGTGATAGCAATAAAGCTAAGTGAAAAAAAATTATAAAAAAATAAGAAATATTAAATAAAATAAAAAAAGGTGATCAAAAAGTAAAAAAATAACAAAAAAATATATAAAAAACAATAAGATAAAAAAAATTATAAAAAAGTTACATGATAAGCTACAAATGTAAAAAAGTTTAAAAAAAAGTGATAAAAAAATAAACAATAAAAAAAAAATAAAACTAACCCTGCCGGCCCTGCCATGCGTTAGCCATTCTCCGTTGATGAGGGGGGTGAATTGCGGAAGATGGCCGTGGGGCAGCAGGGAGAGTAAATCCGACCCTGGACATATTATATCCTTCTTGTAATAAAATATCTCTCTCCTCACAATGTTTTGTTTTCAGGCCAAAGCCGAGCCAGAAATATTCTCCAATATGGTGGCAGGCTCCTGCTTCTCATTATAACGTTCTCTGACCTCCTGCCATAATACCTGCTGGCCCCACATCATTCTACTGAGGAAAAACTTGTTTTATAAACTCCACTATGAAGCCTCTCTGCCGCCCAGCAATGATACAGGACAGGTATAGGCAGGGATGGCTCAGCCTCACACACACAGGAAGTGTGACACAATGGACTCAGCTGCACCACCCAGCACGAGAGGTGAGCCAGAGCCTGACTACCTGCACGGAGGGGCGTGGCTAATGACGTCATCCCGGGAGAGAAAGGATGGTCATGTGACCGAAAGAGAGGAAGCCTGTCCCGGGGGAGAGTGCGGTGCTCATGTGAGAGTGGTCACTGTAGCGGAGGTCAGCCTTCAATACATCCCTATGGAGGGGAGATAAGTCCCGGCGGAGGACTGAGAAGTATACACAGAAGACCGGAGTGACAGTACGGAGAGGTAGTGAGAGGCGAGACATGATTATAGTCCTCTGAACTCCGCAGGTGAGATCCGCTCCCATGTTTTGCTTTGTTTACTAACCGTAGTGTTCAGATCGTCAGTCTGCCCATCCAGAGAAGTTATAGACATCCCATAATATCAGTCAGGTGTTCAGACCTCTGCCTTTCTGTCCTGGGTCACCTCTCCTGACACTGGGATCTGACAGCCCATGTATGGTGTGATTACACCCATAATAGAAGATGTTCCGGTGATTTTAAAGGGAAATTCCAACTTTTTATAAGAAGTACTAATTGCTCAATTCTTCTCAATAAAACAAAACACCTTCATTACATCTGTTTCATTGGAACCAGCAAAGCATTGGAACTGCGATCAGTGAGTGCCAAGGCTCCTGTAGGCTCCTCCTCCTGTCCATGTCTGTAACACGCTGCGGACATTCAGTACCAAAGATAGGAGGAAGAATTAATGAACTACAAGTCCCATGATGTCATCATATTTGTATTCCATTGAGAAATACAAGTCCCTCCACTGCAGTGGCTGATGGGACCTGTAGTTTCTCCATTCACAGATCCTGCTAAAGGATCAGTTAATGGATGGCTTGTGTAGGAGGAGCCCTGCACAGCCACGCCAAATTCAAACAACACAAGCCTATGGGGAGAAGAGCCCCATGACTCGGGTAAGTGGGGTGGTGATGTCACAGTATTTTATGTCACACCCTTAATCCAGGTGTAACATGAAATATGGTCAGAAAGGTACACTTAGCCTTTAAAGTAGAACTCCGGGAAAAGCTTTATTAGCCCTCGCAGTGGGGCTACCCCCGCACTGCAAGGGTTAAAGGAGAACTATGCGGTCAGGGCTTTTCCCCATAGTTCTCCTAAGGGTAACAGGAGAACACAAACTAGCCTCCTCCCGTCACCCAAAGCTCAGTATACAGCTCGCGGTATACTGAGACGCCGCAGCCGGGACGGATCCCTACAATACTGCTTGGATCCACCCAGCTGCGTGAGTGACAGCTGGCTCTGCCTATCCAGAGGCAGAGCCAGCTGTACCCGCTGAAAAGAACAATCACAGCACCTGTGCCTCCCGATAAGGCCGTGCACGCCGCACGGATCTGTACGGGCCGGCCGTTTCTTTCGTGTGAATGAGGGCATTAGGTGCCCATACACCTTCCGATTATCGCACGATTATTTTCGTACAACTGACCCATCATTCACAGACCATTGCGGGTTTCAAATAGCGTTAGCAATATCACCTTGCCAAATTTCGTTGATTGACAGAACGTATTATCGTTTGCGCATGAGCAGTGTTCTTGTTGCAAATTTTTTGTTTTTGTTTTTTCTGTATGAAAACGCCACTAATCCATCGAATTTCATACGATTTGGATAAAAGTTTTGTAGCCTGCTGGAAAGACCAAAGTCGAACAGTTGTACAGTAATTGCGGTTGTGCCCATCAACTGTGCGATTTATCGTACAAAAACGCGATCACAGATGAAAATCGTGCAATAATTGTAAGGTGTATGGGCACTTTAAGAATGACTTTGACAAGAGACAATTGCTCTATATCTGCAATCACTGGATGAATCCAGTATCTGCGCCTCTTATGTTGCCGGGGTTATAATCCCTGTCAGCATTTTTCCTGCTATCTGTGTCCCATTGAGAGAGATTTCTCTTCACTTCCTGTCCGACAGCCACAACAAGAAGTAAGAGGCAATCCCTGGTGGTCAGCTGAATCACCAGAACTAGTGTCCCCATTGGAAAAGTTCCTATCTATTCCTGTGCTGGTGACAACCCAAGATGTGGGATTTTCTGTCACTTTCAATGAAAACAGTCACCAGGGCAAATGGGGTGAATCTCCCTAATGGGGACACAGACAGCAATGAAAACCTGGCGCGTGCTCTATTCCCTCTCCACTCCATCTAAAACTGCACTAAGAGCAGTTGTGTTAAATCGTTGGAATATGGACCTGTGTGCAAACCATACAAATTCATTGATTTGTGGAGTTTTCCTTTAATGTTTTTTCTTATTTTATGTTTTGCAGCAAACTTATGCAAATGTCTGGAGGCGGGCCATCATTAGAACCAAGATCCAAAGGCAGGGTCACAAATGGCCGTACCGCACACTATGATCAGGTACCAGTAGAGCCGAATCCAGCAAGAGGTAATCTCCAGAACCTGGAAGATGGTGAATTGGCTCTGAGTGCCGATCCTTTACCTCCACCTCCACTACCACTTCATCCTCCATTTGGGCCGGAGTTCTACCCAAGTGATAGTGAGGATCCAGTCACTCCACATGAACTTAGACCTGTAAGGAGGTTCATTCCAGATTCCTGGAAGAATTTCTTTAAGGGAAAAAAGGAGACGGCGTGGGAGGAGCCCATATCAGAAATCAATTACATTTCCGGGGGGGCACGTTGCTCTCCACCACGATCACCATCTCTACCTGCTTCTTCTGCACAAGGGAAAAGTTCCAAGGCTGCTGGAAGCTCTTACAGAGATCCATATGGAGGTTCTGGTGGTAGCTACAACTCAAGGAAAGAGGTAGAAGCTATGATTCCCGATGACCCATATGGCTCTTTGAGTGGCCATACACAAACTGTGAAGACGTACAGTGAGAAGGTCGAAGAGTACAATTTGCGCTACTCTTACATGAAGTCGTGGCCCGGATTGCTGCGGATCCTGGGTGTGGTTGAACTTTTGCTCGGAGCGGGTGTTTTTGCCTGTGTTACGGCTTACATCCACAAAGACAATGAATGGTACAACATGTTTGGCTACTCCCAGCCATATTCCTACTCGGCAAGTTTACAAGGGGGGTACTATTATTCCGGACCCAAAACTCCTTTTGTGCTTGTGGTGGCTGGTTTGGCATGGTTGGTGACTATAATCATCCTTGTCCTAGGTATGTCCATGTACTATAGGACCATTCTTCTAGATTCTCATTGGTGGCCTTTAACAGAATTTGGAATCAACATTTGTCTTTTCATACTATATATGGCTGGAGCTATTGTGTACGTGAATGACACCAACCGAGGAGGACTTTGCTATTACTCACTCTTTAACAATCCGATGTACTCCGCATTCTGCCGAGTAGAAGGAGGGCAGACGGCAGCCATGATTTTCTTGTTTGTCACCATGCTTGTCTACCTAATTGGTGCTATTGTTTCACTGAAACTCTGGCGGCATGAAAATGCTAGGAAGAGACGGGAGTATATTGAGCAGGAGGTAAGGCTACAGTTCTTGTGCGCTGACCATACATTAAAGGAGAACTATGAGGCGCGTGAAAATCACTCAGCCTCTTAGTTCTAGCCGACCTGTGACAATGAAACTGTGGCAGGTCGGCTCAATAGATCGGGAAGTGAGCGAACACATACCGCAGCTCGCTCCCTTCTCGATCTATCCCTGCAGAGAGCCGTGAGTGACAGTCACTCACAGCTCCCTGCAGGGATTCCCCCCTCCCCTGTCCGATCCTCCAGCGCTGACTAGCGGAACGGACGGGGAGGGGGCGGGTACAGCTTGCTCTGCCTCTAGATAGGCAGAGCCAGCTGTCACGCAGCTGGGTGGATCTCGACAGTAAAGTCGGAATCCGTCCCGGCTGCGGCGTCTCAGTATACCGCGAGCAGTAGCTCACGGTATACTGAGCTTTGGGTGACTGGAGGACGCAGTTAATTTTAACCCAATGAGACTCAAAGCTATTCTCCCGATTGTTGTGTTGTCTGTACTGCTAACACAGAGCTCTGGGAAGGTGCTGCAGTCCACCAACACATTACCGTATGGCAGGAGTATAAACGGGCCCTAAGATTGGTCTGTTAGATCTGATAAATCTTGTTTATACTTATTATGTTTTATTTATATAGCTCAAAACACAGGCCTTTAGGCCTCATTCACACAAGATTCGGCCGTCACGTACAGGTCCGTGCGCGGCAGTATCGGGCAGCTCCCGGGAAGGACAGGTGCTGTGTGTGATTAGTCTGCAGCCCCTGTCTTTCTCTATGGGACTACGTGGCCATACGCCGCCCTAGGCTCACCCCAAGTGCAGGTCCGTGGTGGTGTCCAGGCTTGGACGCAGACAAGATCCATCCTGTCAGCTGACGAGTACGGACACCCGCACGGACGTGCAGGGCGGGTGAGCGTGCGGCGGCGTACAGCCGCGTAGTCCCATAGAGAAAGACGGGCTGTAGACTAATCACACGCAGCACCTGTTCTTCCCGGAAGCTGCCCGATACGGCTGTGCGCAGAGCTGTACCTGCTGGCAGTTTCTCGTGTGAATGAGGCCTAAGATCTGTCTTTTATTTCATTTCATCTGTTCACTTTGTCATGAAACTATCTTCAAGGATACCATGTAGATTTGTCAACATAAGACTGTAGCTGACTAATCTTACAATATATATATTTTTTCTTTCTCAGATGCAGACACAAGGATCAAATATGAATCCACTGAGAGTCATGGTGAGCAATCTACAGGTTCAGCAGCTGCAGTGTTGTTACATATGTCATTTTTATGACGCCAACATGTTCTCTAATAATAGATCAATCTATGTTTGATGGTTGCAAAGATCAGGGTCCGGTTTCTGAAATGGCTCACATTTAATGTCATGTACTGCAGTTAACCTAAAAGGGCTTCAGTATACACAACACACACCATGTGTGCAAGTTCCTAGTTAGTCCAACCTTGTGAGAAGGAGATGCAGTCGAAGAATTGTGGTAATCCCCTGATGAATAAGGTGATTACAGTGTGTAAGATTCCACAATGCACAATTAAAAAGGGAGGCAAAGGGTGAATTTTAAATGAGTGAACATTCATTTGTGATCACTGTCTTACTGGCAGTAATTGAGTCATAAAGTGCATCAGCATTGGAAGATGTTGGTAACTGATTGCTGATGTTGGTAACTGATTGCTGGTAATCTGCAAAATTCCAGTATACCCCATATCCCCATCAAAGGAGATCCCACCATGAATCCAATACTGCAGCTATAGTATCATGTATAAAAAGAATACAATTTATTTAAACAAACAAAACAACAACATATCATGTTAAAATGTATGAAAAATACGTATATAGTGCACATTTCGTATATACATATTTTTCATACATTTTAACATGATATGTTGTTGTTTTGTTTGTTTAAATAAATTGTATTCTTTTTATACATGATACTATAGCTGCAATATTGGATTCATGGTGGGATCTCCTTTGATGAGGATATGTGGTATACTGTGGTATAATACAGGAGAACCACCATTATTGAAAACCTTTCTGGGAACTATATATATATATAAATTACAGTCAACAATTCTACAAAATGTTTTGTGGGGCCCTCAGTAAACCCAGTACAGTTGTACATGGTACTTTTGTCTTTGAATTCTGCCTTGTGACCACCAAAGGCAAAGGTTAAAGGGCAGTTAAAAATGCATGAAGTCATCAAGAGCAGTCCTTACATTTTAATTTTAAAGAGATTAGCTGTTGACTTTATTTGTAAGAATAATTGTTAATTACATAGAGTATATTCCCGTAAGGAAAAGTTTTGCAGCTTGCAATGTGTTATGCAAATCATTAGTTTTGATTTCCATTACTCATAAATAATGGTGTGTTTGGATAGCAGCGAATGCTGGATAAGGTGCAAAGTGATTAGTGGCCTATATGTTCTTCCTGCTACACATTGTTATTATTCAGGAGCAGATTAGTACATGGAATTTACCCCTTTTATCATTTTGTATTTTATGCCTCCTACTTGAGCCGCTGATATGTATCGCTGTTTTCTTCCTATTTGTAGAGGGATGAGTCAAGGTGTGCAGTGCTGCTCATAATTATTCATTATAATTCTACCTGCCTAGGAAAAGGTTTCCCACCTATTTTATTTGGGCTTGTTTATTTTAGTAGCTGCATAGTGTAGTCACAATGTACAGTCATTTTAAATGCACTCTATTGATGTTCTATATAGTGAGCAGGAAGTTGGCAGACCGTGTTGAAAATGTATGACCAGTTAACTATCCCAGTGCTCTTGTGTATATATACCCATTTACAGTATGTATATCATTGATTCCTGTGCAAATACATGACAAAAATGACAGCCTGTAGAATGAAAGTCTTGGTAAATCATGTCTTTTGAGTGTCAGAACTTTGATTGTACTTTTAGAGTAGTTTTGTAACAATCGACCAAAGTTAAAGTGACACTAAACTCAGGAACTAAATCTTTAAAAAAAACATTCAAGTACCTTCACTATTAACAAAAATGTATCTTATTTGTGTATCACTCGGCTGTAGTTCCTCAAATCATCTCTGAATTGGTGCTGACACTGTCCTTCAATCTGGAGGGTGGCTACTTATGTTCCCCGTGGTCCCTGTGTGTGTTGTAAAGTAGTCACCGCTCCAATCTCTCTCCTGTGATGGACTACAATCTCAGTACAAATTAGTAAACTAATGTGAGATTGTAGTCCATCACGGGATGGAGCGGTGGCTACTTCACAACACAGACGGGGAACATGGGGAACAAAAGTAGCCACCCTCCAGAAGGAAGGACAGTGTCAGCACCAATACAGAGCCGAGTGATACACAAATAAGATACATTTTGTTAATAGTGAAGGTACTTGAATGCATTTTTAATACTTTAATTCCTGAATTTAGCGTCACTTTAAAGGAGTTCTAAAGTCACCTCATGTACTATCCTGGTATAAAATCAGCGTTGTAATAGGAATACATATTATAGTTGTATTTGATGATTCAGTCAAGGCTTGGGCCCCAGTCATATGGGAACTTTGCTGCGTTCTGGGATTTATGCTGCAAGAACCTACGGATTCTTGTGGCAGGCATCCCAGGTGCCCCCTTTCAGATGCAGCCATGGTACCCATTTTAAGTTGACAGCATGACGCAGGATAGATGTATCTAGGAGCAATCCTCTATCCCCAACCACATGTAATCATTGCCATGTACGATTCCCCTCTGCTGAGAGCCAGTGTGGGCATATGCCGGCTCTAAAACCAAGAGCTGAGTGATCATGTGACCACAGATCGCTCCACTCACTGTCTCCTCCCTGCAGAGATCAGTGACCTGCTCCCCGCAGGGATTTCCCTTTTCTGTTTTGCCAGCGCTCATTGGAGGGACAGACAGAGGAAGGAGCGGGCACAGCCGGCTCTAGAGAGGCAGAGCCAGCTGTCAATCAGGTAGCTGGGTGGATCCCGACAATATTTTCGGGATTCTTCCCAGCTGCACCACGGCTCCGTGCTGTCAGCATTTAGCAGGGATTAGCTTCCTATCTGCTGACTTTGGGTCACAGGAGGACATTTGCAAATGTCCTTCTGTGACCCAAAGCAGAAGTAGAGCGACAAGAAAGGTTTGGCTTTACTTCTCTTTTTATGTTTTTATTTAGATTTATTTGCACAAAGATAGTGAATTGGAATTCATAACTAAAATATATTCTTTACGTGACAGTCTGTTGTCACATGTAGGTGATTGTAGAGTGTGTCATGGAGTGAGCTGTAACACATGGGATGTTGTACAAAGATGTAAATGACCAGTGAATAATCTTGCAGCTTTTAGTTTTGACTGTGAATGCCTGAAACCTGAGAATGGTAATTACACCCAGGAATGTGGAGTACATCACTGCAGGAGGAGATTGGCCGTGCTAAACTTGTTCCTTCTTGTACAGCGCTCACTCTACAGTACAGTCACCTGCTGACAGCCTGAGCCCAGTATTTACAAATGATGCAAACGATCATTCCCTTGTGACAATTTAGCGTGTAACGGTTAACTCCTAAGTGATGATGACCTTTTCTTGTGTATGAATACTTCCAGGGTTCCTCAGCATTCACTTCCTGTTGTTGTAAGAAAAGATAGGGAGCATTCACCTGTACTCGTATTGAGACAGGGAGGTGACAGTGGGCCATGGTGGTGTACAAGTCAGACAAAGATGGGGGAAGTCTTTCCAATGGCTGTCATTTATGGTGGGAGATCTGGTGTTGCTGCATTAGTCTGGGAAGATAAAGAGGGACATCACATTCTGACAGCTAAGCATTATCACAGTAAGAAGATGCTTCTTATATGACTACAATTCATGATCCACAGCAGGGGGTATTTAGACTGTAGAGTGGTGTTCAAGCACAGCCTAGGCATGGCACAAATGTAATTAAAGTGCATGTTAAGACAAAACTTTTTATTTTTTCTAGTTTTGGATAGCGTGGAGAAGGATAAGAACTGCTGTTTGTGTGTGTGTGTGTGTGTGTGGTTTTTTTTGTTTTTTTTGTACTGCTATCCAGGGCTCCTTTAGAGATATTTTGGGCTAATTCCTACTGGCACGCTCATTCGTACAGCGTGCACGCCCACGCAGAGACTGCTCCCAGGAGGGACAGCTCTGGTGTGTAACTGTGTGCAGCTGCCTGTACGTCCGTATGAGAGGACGCAGCTACATGCCAACATGAACCTGCACATACATGTAAGTCCAGGTGACCGCACTTGGAGGCACTCTGTCTGCTTCCAAGTGTGGGCACCTGGACCTGCAGGTGTGGATCGGCGTGTAGCCAGCTGCGCGCAATTACACGCCGCATCTGTCCCTCCCAGGAGCACATCTCTGCAGGAGTGCACATGCCATACACACGTCCGTGCAAATGAGCCCGTAAAATGGAACTTTGGGGTAAGTGCTTTTCCCCATAGTTCTCTTAAGGATCACGGGAGGACAAATACTAGTGTCCTCCCATGACACAAAGCTCAGTATATCGCGAGCTACAGCCTTTTAAAAAAAAAAAAGACTTTGTGACACACGACGCGCGGCTGTTTTAAGCGCGATTATGTTCTATTGCAGGGGCAGAATCCCGTGCGAACGGCCTGGCGCGACTGGGGTGCCATTAGAGAATAATGGCACCACCAGCACGATCGGCGGTGGTGGGTGACTCCGACAATCCGCGCAGTATCGTGCACAATTGCCGCACGGTCACGGATCGCGCAGGTGTGAACCTGGACCTTATACAACTTTAATCTCTCTTCCTGTTCTGTTGACATTTGTTTGACTAGGCAGGAAATTAGTGAAAATCTGCAATAAGGAGACTGACAGAAATACAAATCCGATAGGGGTCTAGCCTTCCCCGACCATCCCCCCACACTACAGAAGTATTTTGTTTTGTCTTCATTGTTGGAGGTTTACCTTAACTTTCAGTCTGATAAAATAGCAGCCAGACAGGAACTGTCTAAAGCTGGCCATACATCTATAGATTATCTGCAGATTTTCTATGGTCAGATGGAAAAAGTACAACAGATTCCTCCATCAGATACCGTTGACATTTTAAGAAGAAAGTCAGGCAAACTAAAGGTGCAATCAATCAACATAAGAGAATTCTCCATAGTTCTCTGAGGGCTTGTTCACACCAAATGCAGACCAGATCTGCATGAGCTTCTGCACACGCAGTGCAATGGGTTTTGCTGCGTTTTATTTATGCGTTCCGGGCCGTTTTTGGTAAAAAAATATAAAAATGTTTAGTTTAGAATGGGCTTTTAGTGTGCTCCAGGGCATTTGCATGCTTTTTTGATGCGTTTGCATGCGTTCCAGAGCAGGTAAAATAGGGCTTGCTGCAGTTTTTTTTTACATGCTCTGGAACTGAACCCCTGCGGTGTGAACTAGAGCCCAAAATACCATTGGAATTGATTGGACGCAGTTTTGATCCGGTCTGTAACTGCTCTGCTCTGCTCCTGGAACGCGCTTGGTGTGAACAAGTCCAGAGGCAAGCTGTTGACGCTATGCCAATCTTACAATGTATCCTCAGATTTTACCATTTGTTGCTATAAAGTTTTTCTATGGCCTGCAACCAAAAACGGTATATTAATAAATGATGAATTTGACATGTTGTATGGCTGTCATGTAGTATTCTAGTCATTAGGATTAAACCATAAACCTTTAGGGCTTGTTCACACCAAATGCAGACCAGATCCGGTCAGGTTTCTGCACACGCACAGTGCGTTTTTGACGCGTTTTTGATGCGTTTTTTCCAGGAAGCTAACAAGGTTATTTGGTCATTTCCTTTTACCTTTGACCTTTCATTAGCTGTTCCGATTATTTCCTGCTTCCTCTGACCTTGTTTCACATGTAAAATTGTTGCAAAATGGATCCATGGGATGCAGGCATGCTCCTGGTGATGGTTATTATACTGCTACGCCAAAGTGCTGTAAGGAGACGTCGCTTTTGGGTGCACCCACTGATGAGAGAAAGAGATCCAAATGGCCAGTTTGGGACTCTATATGCAGACCTTCGTGCACACCCAGACAAGTTTTTTTCATACACCCGCATGTCGATATCAAGGTAGGAATGTTTGCATGTGATGTGTCCCTTCCAAAGACAGGAAGTGACAAAGGAAGATTAGGTCATGACAGATGACCATAGAGGTTTTTTTTCTTTATGGTTATTTTTTCCCCATTGAATTGCGTTGCGTTTTTGATGCGTTTTAGATGCGTTTTTGATGCGTTCCAGACCAGATCCAGAGCAGGTAAAATAGGGCTTGCCGCAGTTTTTTCATCCGGTCTGGATCTGGTCTGGATCCGCACGCTGCGATGTGAACTGGAGGTCAAAATACCATAGGAATACATTGGACGCAGTTTTGATCCGGTCTGCACCTGCTCTGGTCCGGATCTGCTCCGCGCTTGGTGTGAACAAGCCCTTAGGAATATGTTTTGTAGTCTCCATCAATCTCTTTTAACCTATTGGTGGTCTCTTGTGTAATGTTGGTGCTCTCTTGTGTAATGTCGTCTGATGCTGCGGTCCCTGTTATATGGGAATTGTCTCTTAAAGCAATATTACAGTGTAACTGTTGGCATTGACTAAAATCCTCCTATGTGTTTTGAAAAAATGGTCCCAAAAAATAACTTAAACACCTGTTAATCCTGCCATTCAAGCCAATTTTAGAGTACTGCCTGTAAAGGGTAACAATGCTCTGCAAAAGAACTGCAGCATTGTCTCACCTCTAGACATTCTGCCTACCAGGACCATAGCCTCCATCGTCTGCTGATTATTCACCTCCACACTGCCTGCCAGGACTATAGCATCCATCATCTTTGCTGATTATTCACCTCCACACTGCTTATCACTGGTGGCCAGCTATGGAGACTCCTACTTGTGTGGCCGGTCTTTAGATTCAAAATTCAGTTTATGTGCAGCTACCCCGAAAGTAAGACCTAGCGGATTTCTTTAATATAAGACCTACCACCGAACTAGGTCATATTTTCGGGGTAGGTCTTATATTCCAGAAATCCCCGAAGATAGCGCTAGGTCTTACTTCCAGGGTAGGTCTTACTTTCGGGGAAACACGGTAGGAGTCTTGACCGCGCTTGTCTGCGACAGTGCTTATGGGGATTATAGTCAGAGCAGCAGCTTGCCCGCCAGACAAAAAGGAAGCCTTTTGCTGAACTTTCAGTTTTCCTTCAACAATCCTTGTAATGGATTGGCAGTCTCTACCAGTCTCTTATATTGGGCATTGAAAAATTGGGGCAGGTTTCTGCCAACATCTTCCTTTTTAACATGTCCGTTATGAGTAAGCCACACCAGTTAAACAATGCCTATCTAGCTATGCCCGCTTTTCGTTGTGAACCTGTTAACCAATGCTCTGGATTGATGTCTATGTTGCAGGGTTTGACTCCCTGCTATTTGAGGGTATAATTTTACTGCTGAATTTGTGGGTCACAATAAATTGTGGCTGCACCTGCCATTTGGGCCCCACATTTGTTTATCTGCCTTAGGTGTGCCATTTTAATTGAACACTCCCTGGTAAACTCATTGCAGTCAATGGTATTGCTGTTTAACATTTTGCAGAAACTTAGTATTTTTGTGGCACAACTGGATACAGAGTCACCATTTACATCAGACATTGGCACTGCTGGTTTATACTGTATGTGCAGCAAGCCTTTGTGGTTTCATAGACTGAACGTATTCTAGTCAGGTAAATCAGATCTTGTTATTGGTGTTTCCAAGAAGTATAAGAAGCCAGCACACCGCTTGCTGCTAATCAAATTGATTGATCATCTACATCAGTGTATGTTTTAGCATCTAATGGTATTTTATTCTGTATTTTTATTTTTAGCGTGATGTGTCTGCGGGTAATGACCATACGGTACAAGATGGCCCAGTGCAGCAACGAGCTCATAATAAAGTTGGGGATGTGCGGCCTGAGCTGATTAGTGGATATATTCCAGCAGGACATATACCAAAGCCCATTGTCATGCCGGATTATGTGGCGTAAGTATTGATGGAGATCATGTTCATGAATGAAATCTATCATTTGGTTTGCATGTGCTGACCTCTAACTGTAACAATGTTTCTCATAGTTGAAATCTTTAGTATTACATCTCAGCAATATGAAATTGTTCAAGGGTGCCTTGTGATCTTATGTAGGTTTGTAGCCCTTGCAGGACAAAGGAAAAGGGTTAAGTTAGCAACTAGGATGAAAGTTAAAGGAGAACTATGGGGTAAGTGTTTTTCCCCATAGTTCTCCTGAGGGTCACGGGAGCACATAAACTAGCGTCCTCCCGTCACCCAAAGCTCAGTATACAGCTCGCGGTATACTGAAACGCCGCAGCCGGGACGGATCCCAACATTACTGTCGAGATCCACCCAGCTGCATGAGTGACAGCTGGCTCTGCCTATGTAGAGGCAGAGCCAGCTGTACACGCCCCATCCGTTCCGCCAGTCAGCGCTGAAGGATCGGAGGGGGGGAATCACTGCAGGGAGTCGTGAATAAATGTAGTTGCTAACACACTTTTTTTAGTGTGCACCAAGCAAGTGGCATTTTTTTTTTTTTATGTGCATCAAGCCACTTTTTTTTTTTGTTCGTTGCTTGATAGCGCCGTATGCTTGAATGCCAGATAATCTGGAGTTTACTGTATATTTTTTAACTTTAAAAATATTTTGAAGGGTAAAGTTGTGCTGAGTAAGGTAGCTGGCTGCTCACTACAGACAACTATGTGACTGACAAGACCTGAACCTCTTTTGGAGAATAGTAACAGTCCATTAATGATTGGATCTGAATTTATATGATTGTACAGTGACAGGACACTTCCCCCTTCACATCAGAGTCCCCTATTTAAATCAGGAGCCCCACTTGGGATTAGAGGCCCCCCATCACATCGGAGTCTCCCTCTACTTTAGGAGCCAATCTTTACATTATCCCTTTACATCAGAGCCCTTCTTTCATATCAGAGTACCTCCCATTTCACATCAAAGTTTCTTCTTCACATCAGGGGCCCCTTCACATCAAAAGCATGCCTGCGCCATGGAAAGGCATTACACTGTGCAAACATTTCAGGGCATCCCACTCCCCTTTTTTATGGTGGTCTGATTTCTCCTTTTCCTTTTATCTCTCTGACTAATAGAAGGTATACAAGTGAAATCTGGCAGGCTCTTATGTGGCCCCCTTCAGTCCCCCCTACCTCTACTTGATGAATGTCAACACACAGTTAGCAACAATTAAATCAAACTGACCGTTTTCATCATTTGCTACCTCCATATTCCAGGTTGTTTTAATGAAACATGCAGGGGGAATTTATCAAAACTGGAGCAGTTGCCCATGGCAACCAATCGGCTTTTCTCTTCAGTTTATTCAGTTCAGATTTGAAAAAAAGAGAGATAAGCTGATTGGTTGCCATGCACAGTTCCTCCAGATTTTGTCTGCTCCAGTTTTGATAAATTCCTCTCATAGAGTTTCTGCTCATTAAAAAATCTTTTCACCTTTGTTTTTTTTGCTTTGTTCATATTTCAAATATTAAGTACTTTTGGGTGAACAATATCATAACCAAGTAAACTTTAATACAGTTTTAAGTTCAAGATGGTGATCTACAAGGTTGTTGGGTTTTTGTGTTTGGGAGTGTATATATGTAAACTATATACTGGGGGAATTTATCAAAACTGAAGCATGTTGTCCATAGTAACCAAATCAGCCATCTTTCATTTTTAAAGCTTAACTGAATAAACTAGAGAGAAGCTGATTGTTTGCCATGGGCAACTGCTCCAGATTCTGGCTGCTCCCGTTTTGAAAAATTCCCCCCTTTGTGTATTTCTTATTTCAGTGCATTGTAAAGGAAATCTTTATGGCACACGATATACAACATTCAGAGAATTGACCTTTGCTCCAGTGAGGAAGGCATGGCTCTAAGCCTCATGAAGCAGAAGGATATTGTAGCTCTGGAGATCTCTCTGTAGTCCTGACTCAATGGAGGACCTGGAGAACAGGCTCAGACACAGGAATAACAGGATTATTTGTCCTGTGGAGGAATTGAATAAGACCTCCCCAGAACATGATGACAACCAGTGGCGGAACCACCGCCGGTGCAGGCGCACCAGGGCCTCGGCCTGTGGGGGGCCCAGCACAGTCCCAGCGCCAGATCGGCACCCAGCGGCCAGAGGTCGCCCCATCTCTGCGCCGAGAGTGTCGGATCATCCGTTCATCCGGCGCAGAGATGGGGGGCCCGCCGGCCGCCGGATACTGATGGTTGCCCTGGCGATAGAATGCTGAGCCCGATCGGGAGCCGCGCTGTGTAATCTCGTCGTCAGGCGTGCTGGGTAATGTATATAGAGAGGGGGCAATGTATAGAGGTGGCAATGGAGAGAGAGATGCAAGATGGGGGTGACAATGTGTATGTAGCGAGATGGGAAGTTTATATATAAATATATGAGAGGGGAGTAAGGTATATGTAGAGAGGGGTGCAATGTATAAAGAGTGTGTGTGTGGGGGGGGTTATACAGTGATGTTTACAGAAATGCTATAGTTGTATAAAGTATTGTTGGGATGTGTAGTCCTCTGTAGCTTGTGCCATTCTGCATTGCTGTAAATATTAGGGATGCACCGATATATCGGCCGCCAAAAGATATCGCCGGAAATGGCGCTTTTGGCTAAATCCCGAAAGTGCAATTTTTCTGCTGATACAGCCGCGCATCCCTGCTTTCTTTCACCTGGGCGCTGCTCTGTGTCCCAGCGGGGAGGAGAGAAATTGACAGCCGGCCAAGCCCTGCGGGGGGAGAGCTCTGTGTTTGTGAGGTTTTTGGGGGGGGGCCCAAAAAAAAAATCTTGACAACAGTGGTGCCACAGGTCACCTGCACACCTTACAGCTTTGCGACCTTCAGGGATAATGGTGGTGCTCGTAGTGATATCACGGACGGCGCCGTGCAGAACTCCAAAGCGTAACAGAAAATCAGCAGCACACACTTGATATAGCTGCAATCTGCTTTGTGTACTTCATTCAAACGTCACATAATGCGAAGTATGCTAACGTTTCGGGAACACGCAGGGACCCTTCATCAGAGCAGCACAGTTTCTGTATTCTTTGGTGTATCCTGTACCTTTTATTGAGGTCCTATGTGCCCATCAGTGTTTCTGTGTTGTACATTTCATATTTAGTGTTTCTGCATACAGAGAATCAATGCTTGGTAAACCTGTGCTCTGTCCACATGCTACAAATGTAAAATGTATTGCATATTTTAGATTCTACTTCTAAGTGTAGCTGCAGTTCTTTGTCGTGACCGGTTTACTCATAATTGCCTTTATCTGCAGTATGATATCTCTCACTATTATATTCATACTTCTCTGTTCAAGAGAGAACTATTGCTGTCTCCAAATCTTTTCTGACTTTGCTTGCTGCATGCTTTTTTACCAGTGCGACTTTTCAAAACTACATATTTTTACATTGATGATTTTTGTGTTGCATTAAACAGTATAATTGAATATATTTATATTGCGCCCCCATACTCTGGACAACTAAATACTACTGTATCTATGGAGGGTTGTCACCCTTGGCTGTCGTAGATGGAGTATAAACAACTCCCTTTTTCATCTCCATTACCTGGGTCGTAGAGGGGTTTGTAGTTTACACTAGATAACTTAGAAGGAAGATAACATTGTTTGAGATTTTAGTTTGGTACACAGGAAGTGACCAGGACACTTGATTTCTATCTGTGATGTAGCCACCACATTTTATGCTTGGTAAGCTATAGTATGTTCAGTTTGTGTTCTTGGGGTTAGATATCTTCCAAATTCTTCAATTTCACCTGCTGATTATACAACCCCAATTCCCAAAAAGTTGGGACACCATGTAAAATCTACATAAAAACAGAATGCAATGATTTGCAAATCTCATAAACCCATATTTTATATCCAATAGAAAATATAAAACATATTGAACGTTGAAACTGAGAACATGTCTCATTTAAGAAGAAAAACAAGGTAATTTTGTTATTTATGGCAGCAACACATGTTTACCAGGGTGTAGCATCCCCTCTTCCTTTAACAACACTCTGTAAACGTCTGGGAACTGAGGAGACCAATTGCTGGAGTTTTAGGAGAGGAATGTTGTCCCATTCTTGACTGATATAGGATTCTAACTGCTCATCAGTCCCGGGTCTTCGTCAGATTTTCTTTTTCAAGATGCGCCAAATATTTTCAGTTGGTGAAGGGTCTGGACTGCAGGCAGGGCAGGTCAGCACCCGGACTCTTCTATTACAAAGCCATGCTGTTGTCATAGATGCAGTATGTAGTTTAGCATTGTCCTGCTGAAATATAAAAGGTCTTCCCTGAAAAATATGTCATTTGGATGGGAGCATATGCTGCTCTAAAACCTGGATTTATCTTTTGGCATTGATGGTGCCTTTTTAAGATATGCAAGCTGCCCATTCCATATGCACTAATGCACCCCCATACCATCAGTGATGCAGGCTTTTGAACTGAGCGCTGATGACAAGCCTGAAGGTCCCTCTCCTCTTTAGTCCGGATATGCGGCACCAATGGGTGCCAAAAAGAATGTCAAAATTTTGTTTCATCCGACCACAGAATAGTTTTCCACTTTGTGGCAGATCATTTTTATTTTTTTTTATATATTCTTTATTTTACATTTTTTGTGTATACAAAGTAAAAACGACATATAATCAATATAGCCATAAACATAATACCAATAGAATACAAGCCAAAAGAGGAAGAAAGGAAAACCATATACGAATGAGCAGATCTTAAGACCCTCGACTGGAGTAGGGGGATCTACATCTCAACAAGGACTAAGCGCATTAGACACACATGCGTGGCAGATCCATTTTAAATGAGCTCTGGCCCAAAGAAGACAGTGACATTTCTGGATCATGTTCCGATATGGCTTCTTCTTCGCATGATAGAGCTTTCACTTGCATTTTTTAAATGGCATGGAGACCTATCTTCACAGTGATTTTTGGAAGTATTCCTGAGCCCATGCAGTGATGTCCATCACAGAATCATGTCTGTTTTTAATGCAGTGCCGTCAGAGGACCCGAAGATCATGGGCATCCAATATTGCGTTTCGGCCTTGTCCCTTGCCCACAGAGATTTCTCCAGATTCTCTGAATCTTTTGAGATTATGTACGGTGGATAGTGATATTTAAAGTCTTTGGAATTTTACATTGAGGAACATAATTCTGAAATTGTTTAACAATTTTTAGACGCAGCTTTTCACAGATTGATGAACTTCTGAGACACTCTGACTCTCTAAGATGCTCTTTTTTTTATTCCCAGTCATGTTACTGACCTTTTTGCCAATTAACCTAATTGGTTGCAAAATGTTTTTCCAACTTTTTTGAGACGTGTTGCTGCCATCAATTTCAAAATTCCCTTATTTTTCTCCTAAAATGGTGATTTTGTTTTCAGTTTAAACATTGGATATGTTTTCTACTTTCTATCATGAATAAAATGGGGTTTTTTTAGGTTTGCAAATCATTGCATTCTGTTTTTAGGTAGATTTTACACAGCGTCACAACTGTTAGGGAACTGGTGTTGTAGATGATCTTTAAAATGTGTTGTCTATTAATGGAGGGTCAACTTTTTAATTGATTTGAGTTGGAATCTGTCAACGTATTCCACTGGACTGTCCCGATTATAGAAATTGGGGTTAAATCCCCAAATGTTAGGGAGCAGATCACTTTACAGCAGTTTTGGAGGTAGAGAAAGTATATGAAGAAAATCCTAATATTGACACTGAACATAAGTGGGTGGATGTAGGATTTGGTGTGGAGTAAGGCCCCATTCACACCTTGTGCATTTGAAAATGCATGCATTGATATGTGTTGCTATGCATACTTCATAGCTGTTTAATGTGGCTTTTCATGCAACTTTATATGTACATATGCAATGCAATAAGTTCTCTTTTCATTACAGAAAATACCAAGTAATAAAAGCAGATGATGAGCGAGATCGTTATAAGGCAGTGTTTAATGACCAGTACTCAGAGTACAAAGAACTGTCGGCTGAAGTCCAGGCTGTCTTAAAGAAATTTTGTGAACTGGATGCCATAATGAGCAAATTACCCAGAAACCCAGAGAACGAGCATGTAAGTATCCTGCTGGCCACCTCCTATCTATTTATATCATGCTTTCTTCAGTGCCCACAATAATCTTTGCACACACATATATAGTGTATACATTGTCCGGCTGTCACACTAATCCTCCAGTTTAGAGTCACTGGCCTTAAATACGTTTTGTGAGCAGGTGTCCTGATGTGGATACTCCGGGTATTTAAGTCACAGAATTGGCATGACAGCCAGTCAACTAGCATTTTGTAGAAGGTCAGCAGTGGAAGTCTTTTATATCTCATGTTTCACTTTAATCACCCATTGTGGGCACACAAGTTGGGAACCTGATTTTGAAACTTCACCTTGTATGCAGTTTGGATACGGTGATAAACTATAAGGAAGGAAAATATAAGAGAGTCCAATTTTTTTTTTTTGTGTGTGTGTTTTTTTTATTTTTTATTATTATATAATTTTTTTTTTCTTCCATTACGCAGACTTTCTATTATTTCATGGAATAATTGTGTATCATGGCTTCTTCTGTATGTGTATACAGTATAATTTATGCAATTGTTCTAAGAATCCACTAAAATGCTTAGAAGCCCAATGGTGGGGATTTGTGTCAGGAGAATATCTGTTCTATGCAAACTCACAGCTACACTGACTTATCTTGGAAATGCTCAGTACAGAGTTGGGGGTTCAGTCCCAGTCCTGGCCACAGACAGTGCAGTCTACTACCTTGATCTGCACAATGCAGGAGAGGCATCATCAATCATCTTAGACCCTCTATGTCTAAATAAATGAGTTCATGTAACCAGTTATGGTAAAATGGGGTCATCAGACACAAAGGGGATGAAGCCTACATTGCTAGAGGACCTTGTTGTCATGGGATCACTCCGTAAGAGTTAACAGCTCTCTTGTTAGTAGTCCAATCTGTCCAATCTTATAGGCAATATGACTTAACCATCTGCTGACATTGGGTACTCCTGCACAGATTAGAGGTTGTAAATAAAATTCACATTATAGTGCTAACAAATCCACTGTGTACAGGATACATAGCCCAGCTCTTGCCTCTAAAGGAACTAGCAGTCTAATGTCCCAAACACACATACGTACAAAATGGGGCCATTCTGGGTTAACCTACGCTTTGTTTTTTGCATTGTGGGATACAAACCCCATGGAACATGGGGAGAACATGGACTACATGTGTATGGTGGATATGGTTGATAACCAAGAACGCAAGTCCTGAAATGGGAGAATACTAACCTCTATCCCAGTTGTGCTTACCTCCATTCTTCTTCCTATCTCAAATGTACATGTGTCTGTGAAGGTTCTCATTAATCCAGGTCATGGTATATCTGTAAAAAATAAATTGAGGTAACTGGACTTGTATTTTTCTTGAAGATGTTTAGCTGGTCATCCAACTAGCTTTCTGAATTGAGAAAGCTAGTCAGATGACCAGCGAAACGTCTTCAAGAGAAATAGAGCAAGTCCAGTTGCCTTGATTTACTTTCACGCGATTTTAAAAGTGTATCTCAGTTTCATCTTATATTTTATTAGGATTTGTGTAGTTTGTAATATATTCCTGGAGTTAATGACCGTTTCAGTGAAATTTTATAAAAAATGCAGTGTTGACAAAAATTCTATATATAATGTGTATTGTTAGTGCTTTGATATTAAAGGGGTGTGTGTAGTATGTTGTTGACTCTACAATAGGAAGCAGAGCCACATAAACACAGTGATTCATAGTGATTATATCACTGATCCGAGTGCAGCAGGAATGCTGTAATTTTGGATTGCCAGGAAAAGATTAACACTTACTAATTATTCTGTCTTATTATGACACTAAACAAGAAATATGCAGCGCCATTTTTTTGCTTACTATTTAATAAAATCATATGTAACTAATTTGAAATTTTACAGGAATACCAGCGGATTGCAAAGGTTTTGCAAGAATATCAAAAGAAAAAGAATGTGAGTATTTTTATTTATGTTTGGTATATTATAGTGGTTGTATTTAGTACATGTTGAATGGTGTGCATGCCTAACAGTACACAAAGTAACAACAAAGTGCTTCCTTTTCAGCTGAACACCTATACTTCTAGTAGTAGCTGGTAATAGACCGAGCTTAGCAAGTCACAGTAGCTGTTACTTTGAATAGTTAAATTTAAAATACAGCTAAAATGCAAAGGTCACCGTCCCCCTTGTAGAAAAGCCGCATAAAAAAATGTCTGTATGGAGCCTTCCTTTTCCAGGGCACTCCGGAAACCTAATGGCCACTATATGGCGTGCGCCAGTACTTTCAGGTCTTGAGGAAGCAAATCCCCCTCCCTCCCTCCCCAAAATCTGTTTTACAGAGGGGCATGAAGAGATGTAATGCAGAGCCAGGGTGTAACCACCACTGCACAGAAACTGCCCTCTACTGCAGCCAAAGATTAACCACCAGACTCCATGAAAGACCACGACTGAAGCCCAATAATGGCCACCAAATTAACAGCACAGCAATTGGGGCATGAGAGTCGTATCAACACTAATACAGCAGTGGATTGACTATTGCTTTGGTTTGGAATGACCATCACAAATATACCACTGTAACCACAATATGACCGCCGCATTACCTCTACTATAGTCCATGAAAGGATTCCTCTAGAATTACCACCAAACCAGAGACTGACCACAACAGGATTACTGTAGAAACTACTGCTATTATTAAACTCCCTTTATCCTTTTTAATAACAGTAACATTATTTGTAGCCATTAATGTTATCTGTTAATTTTTGTTAACAGTTGGGCCTCATTCACACACATTGCAAGCAAAATTGTCTATGCGCGTATATGCGTGCACTATTTGCATTCCCAGAATGCATAATTCCTAATGGAAATCTTAATGAACTCTCTGCGCGTATACATGCGCATGCGCATAAAATACGCTGCCCGGACGCATCGTGGTTCCATTCTGTTTTTGCGCATATATACGCTACACAAATAAATGGCTCCATACTCGGCTATGTGTATGGAGCCATTTATTTGCATATGGTACAATACGCACGTACGCGCGTGTATGCGCGGCAGTGTGAATGAGGCCTAAGTTAGTGCGCGTTTGTGTTTTTTTGTTTTTTCATCAAGGAACTGGAGCTGCCTTTACTGGAGCTGCAAGATTGTGTTCCTTTTCTCTCTCCTCTTCTTCCTGTCACTATATGAACTATTTCGATCATCCCGGTTCTACCATCAGTGTTTGATGCACTGTTTTTATTTATTTTTTAAAACAAATTCTGTTTATGGTTTTATACCAGGGAATTATCATTACAACCAGAGAGTAGGACCATCCGTACTTATGTACAGTTTTCATTGCTACATGCACCATAAGGGTCGTCTACCTGACTTTTGGCAGGTGGAGCCGGATTCTAGATTTAGGGCAGATTTTTAAAGCTGACTATAGGTGGCATTTTACTCTCCCACAACCTAAAGGACCAAAACTAAGTAAATATTTAAAGGAGAATTATGAGGTGAGTGATCATAATCTGAGCCGACCTGTGACAATGAAACTGTCACAGGTCTGCTCAGTAGATCGGGAAGTGAGCGAACACATACCGGCGCTCGCTCACTTCTCGATCTATCCCTGCAGAGAGCCGTGACAGGGGAGGGACTGGATTCCACCCTTCCCATGTCCAATCCTCCAGCGCTGACTGGCGGAACGGACGGGGCGGGTACAGCTGGCTCTGCCTCTAGATAGGCAGAGCCAGCTGTCACGCAGCTGGGTGGATCCCAACGTCCATGTCGGGATCCGTTCCGGCTGCGGCGTCTCAGTATTCCCGCGAGCTGTAGCTCGCGGTATACTGAGCTTTGGGTAACGGGAGGACGCTAGTTTGTGTCCTCCCGTTACCCTAAGGAGAACTATGGGGAAAAGACCTGACCCCATAGTTCTCCTTTTAATGGGTCATTTTTCTTAGGCTGACTGCAAGCATTTAATGTGAATGTGTATGTGGGCACAAATCGACTGCTTGTCCTGCCATCGGTTTTGGTCTACAGACTGGAAGCTCAAGTGTCATGGTGCTCAGCTTCTTCTCTGCAGGACAACAAACCCCTAGTTTTTTACATTTTCATTTCTCATATTGGGTACTTGGAGATACAGCCCTGAATGTCCCACAGATTTTTTTTATCAACACACTTGGCTAACCCTTCAATTACCACAATTACCCTTTAAATCCCACACATTTCTAGTACAGAACAAAAATGGTAGAAAAGCTTTGATTAAAGGTAGATGTAACAATGCATATACTTCCTCTGCACTATGCATTATGGTTTTTGTACTGTCGGTAGCATTAAAGGAGAACTATGAGGTTAAGGCTTTTCCCCATAGTTCTCCTTGGGGTAACGGGAGGACACAAACTAGCGTCCTCCCGTCACCCTAAGCTCAGTATACCGCGAGCTACAGCTCGCAGTATACTGAGACGCCGCAGCCGGAGCGGATCCTGACATCGATGTCGAGATCCGCCCAGCTGCGTGAGTGACAGCTGGCTCTGCCTATCTAGAGGCAGAGCCAGCTGTACCCGCCCCCTTCCCCGTCCATTCCGCCAGTCAGCGCTGGAGGATCGGAGCGGGAAGGGGGGAATCTAGCCCCTACCCTTTCACAGCAGAGAGCCGTGACAGGATCGAGAGGTGAGCGAACCTGGTATGTGTTCGCTCACCTCCCGGTCTACTGAGCCAACCTGTGACAGTCTCATTGTCACAGGTCGGCTAGAACTATGAGGTGAGTGAAAAGCACTCACCTCATAGTTCTCCTTTTTTAATGAAGGATTTTCCATGCTCGGAGGTCCTCTCTGAAGTAACTGTAGGCTATAATCGCTTTTCTTTAAATTATTAAATAAGTGGACTTGTTTTGTTTTTTGGAGAATGAGCAATGATTTCACAAGAACAAGAAAAAAATGACCTCTTATTTCTTGTGACAGGACCCAACATTTTTGGAGAAGAAGGAGAGATGTGATTACCTGAAGAACAAGCTGTCCCACATCAAGCAGAGAATTCAGGAATATGATAAAGTTATGAATTGGAATGATGGATTTAATTAACGCTTACCAATAGCCTTTTCTGTGAATGCCTTAATGCTCTGTAGACCCAGATTTCTTCCATACCTTTTAAATATCGTGGCTTATTTTTATATTTCATATTTTTCATTGTAAATAATATACTATCCAATGGTAAATACTTTAATACCCTATATGTAATAAGGTTGTTTCTCCTCACCTAAATAGTTTGCCGGTTAGGTCCCATTCACACGGGGCTTATGCTGCAGCTGGGGAATTCAGCAGTTAGGTTCTACCTTGCGGCAGGAATCCCAGATGTTGCCTACAAGTAATCATATGTAGTACGTCCTGCGGTTCGGGATAGATGATTGTCCCTGGATGCAATCTGTCTGTGAGGGACCATCATCTATCCTAAACCGCAGGTAATCATTCCTTGTACCATGAGATGAGGACAACCACTGACAAATGTGGCTGCTGTCAACCGCTTATTCACTTGAACTGGCACAATGGGTGCATCTGTACGTACACACCTGGGATCCCTGCTGCAATGATCTGCAGTTTCTTGCCGCAGAAATCCCCAGCTGCAGCCTTAAAGCCCCTTGTGAATGCTGCCATATACTTAAAGGAGATGTAGGATGTACTCGCCATTACATGGACAATAGGGAAATTTAAGAGCAAAAATAAAGAATTGTATCTCTGATACACAGCAGCCAATTACTGTTTTTGCTTTCCTTGTAGCACTGGAAAGTGAATGTTGCTATAGGAAATTCACACGGCTCTTTCCTGTTTTTACAAAATGGCCCTGATACTCCTAGAAAAGAGTTTCCTCGCACCAAGACTGATTGTATATATTGTTTTAGGCTACATAACAATTTGTTACCAAAGAAAATAAATGTATTTGTTTCTTAGTACATTTTGTTTCTATTTTTTTGCAATCCATTTCATCTTGTCCTATATTTAAATAGAATAAACGTCAACAGGTCTGCACAATTTTCTGTTTCTTTAGAAGTGCCATAGGAGCTCTGAAATTTGGGAGCTCTGGTATGCAGAAAAAAAGCTCTTCACAGATAACTGTGTATTTGTGGAGACATACAGCTTACTAGCACACACAAGGGTGACTGCATAGGACCCTGCAAGGAAAAGGAGCCACCCTAAAACGGGATATCGGCCGGTGCTCAGGGGACCAGCTGATTCTACAGGGAGCTAAAACTTTTATACATCAAGAAGCAGCATTCATTGTAAGTGATTTTAAAGGAGAACTATGGGGTCAGGGCTTTTCCCTAGAGTTCTCCTACAGGTCACGGGAGGACACAAACTAGCGACCTCCCGTCACCCTAAGCTCAGTATAGCTCGCGGTATACTGAGCCGCCGCGACCGGGATGGATCCCGACATTACTGTCGAGATCTACTCAGCTTCGTGATTGACAGCTGTCTCTGCCTATCTAGAGGCAGACCCAGCTGTGCCCGCCCCGTCCCCCGGCCGTTCCGCCAGTCAGCGCTGGAGGATCGGAGCGGGGGGGAATCCCTGCAGGGAGCTGTGAGTGACAGTCACGGCTCTCTGCAGGGACATGATCGAGAAGTGAGCGAGGTATGTGTTCGCTCACTTCCCGATCTATTGAGCCGACGTGTGACAGTTTTTTTTGTCACACGTCGGCTCGAACTATGAGGTTGAGTGAAAATCACTCACCTCATAGTTCTCCTTTTAAATAAAAGACAGTTTTTTAGCATAATAGTTCATATTTTCAATATCGATGGCAACATTTTACGATTTCTGCCAGGGTATGCAAACTTTTGAGTCCCTCTCTCGCTTTCTCCCCTTTGCATAGAAGAGACATACATGCATATGTAACAAGAGTTCACACAGGATGAACAGAAATACAACTGTCTACATTGTGAATTTGGGCACTTGGTTGAAATACAAAAGGCCATATGCGCATTCACCCCTACTTCCTTAAAGTGGAACTCCATCTCGAACATTTGTTTTCTAGATTTGGGTAGAATAGGGAGTTTAATGCGGTTTGTGTCCTGGGTGCTGTCAACAGGAAAGAAAGTGAGGGGGGAAGTTTTTGCATGGGTTTTTTTTGCGCAATTTTGCTTTGAATGCATAGTAATGTCTATGGGACCACAACCGCCTGAAAATCGCTCCTGCACCTTTTTGCGCTACAGACTATTTCAGCCGTGTGACGCAACGCAAGGGTGTGGACAGGCCCCATTGACTTCAATGGGAATCTGTTTTTTGTCTAAGGCTGGCCATACACCGATCTTCCTTTTTTTTCTTTTTTCCAACCCACGGGCTGAATGAAAAAAAAAATGACCCGATTCCTCCATCAACACAAACAGCGTATCAATGGAGGAATCCCGCTGTTTACATTGTTTTCTGACAGGTGTCGCCGGCATCTATCAGAATACCTGATCAGAGTGGGCAGCTCATTGGTTGCTGGCTCTGATCGATCAAATATTTTCCAGCCTGCTCCTTCGATCAGCTGATTGAGGCATGCCGGCTGAAAAGGGAGCCAACAGCCTCACACACTGTGCGAATTTCGGCCGCTACATTAAAAACTGGCGGAAATTTGAGCAGTTATGGGCACCTTAATGCATCCCATTGCACTGCAGTGGTGGGAAGACAAGGCAGTTTGCCTTGTCTATGCCTTGGCCAAGGCTGTCCAGCGCATATGGTGTGAATGGGCCCTAAATCTGCAAGAACATACTTGTGATAACCAGTTTATCCTTTATTCATCTTGAATTACTGCATGCTGAATTCTAATTGGCTAATAATGGTCACCTGGTAGTCAGTGGCGGACCTAATAACCAAAGGGCCCTGGTGCAAGATTTTTCCGCCTGTTACTATGGACGCGGTCGGGAGGGGAGGTGAGTCACAGGACCTGCCCCCCTCACTGGGAAGCCCGTCGGCAGTGCGAGGCCCCGATGTTCTAACACCGGGACTCTGCACTGCCCCATATTGCAGGACCGGACCCCACTGAGGCTGTGGGGGTGCCCAGGACCGGACCTCACTGGGCCCCCCACAGCCTCAGGCCCCGGTGCGCCGGCACCGGCGGTAGTTCCGCCACTGCTGGTAGTAACCTATATGTGAGCCATTAAAAGGAACTGTAGTTTTTGGTTGGTTGTTTTTTGTTTTTTTCAGATATACATTCAGCATAAACAGATCAGCTTAAAGGAACATTTCAGTTTCAATTTGCAAAACTCAATGTACTGCCTTTTTTCCAAACAACAATGTAATATATGATGGTTCGGACTTCATTGGTTTCTGAATAGACGGATACATACTTATCTATCCAGGCTTTCAGAAGCCAAAAGTCTGATCCATCCATCCAATTAAAACCAAACTTTCATGACTATTGTATGTCTGGAGTGAGTAGTTTTCCACTCTGCTGGTAGCCTGCGCCTCTGCAATACAGTGCTAGTGCCTGGCTAAAGAGACGGCCTGTCCTTTATGTTGTAAGGTCACCAGGCACTATATATACAATTTAAGCAAAGAGTATTTCCAGAAGAAAGGGCACCCTTCATTTGCTACAGGTTTACGTTTAGGTGACACGATGGCACTTATTCAATGAAGGCACTTTTTATACTCCAAAATAACTGTGATTTGTCAGCGCTGGTATGTGCCTAACTGATGTGTTTTAATGATTTTATTGTTTTTAACACTTTATACAAATTGGTATACAGTGTTACATTAGTGTTCTAAGGTTTAATGTTAGCACTACAGTTATACCTTGGTTTACGAGCATAATTCGTTCCGGCAGCATGCTTGTAATCCAAAGCGCTTGTATATCAAAGCGAATTTCCCCATGGGAAATAATGGAAATTCAGATGATTCGTTCCACAACCCAAAAATATTCATATAAAATGATTACAATGCTGTACTGTAATATAATACTCCACAAAATATAAAAGAAAAATAAACCAATTACCTGTACATTCGTGGCTGGGGTGAGGGGGACAAGAGAGAGGACGATTATTGTGTAGGACAACTTTCACTATCACTAACGGAATCACTGCTATCTCTTGACTAAATGGATTCTTTTTCATTTTGTGAAACCTTAAAGTGTTTCTAAACCCTCCGTTTTTTTTGGCTATATCTACTGCTAGCAAGCAATAGATATAGGCAAGAAGTTTAAAAAAAAAAAAAAAAACGCTTGAACTGGTTTTAAACTTACCTCGTTATCGCTGCTCGATCCCGCGCCGAGAATCAGGAACTGCTTGTACGGCCACAAATGATCTTGGGGCGGGCGCATGCGCAGTTCCGATTCTCGGCCGGGAGACAAGCAGAGACGCAAGGTAAGTCTATGGACGCGTGCACCCACTTGCAGACACCGCTGGATCGGAGAGACAGAGCAGTCAGCGCTGGATCGGAGTGACGTCACACCGCTGGAGGGACACCTGAAAACATGGGGAAAGAAGAGGAAGATCAGAATAAGAGACATCATTTGAGGTAAGTGCTAACATTTACATGGGGGGGAGGGGAAAACATTTTTGGCTTTAATGTCACTTTAACAAGGAATCTATCCAATGTGACATTGCATTGTCGCTAAACAGACTCTTCGCTCGCACTGCTACAGCCTTATTCAGTGGTGCTTTTCTATAACATTTTGCTCTTATTGCAAAACATTGCTTGTATATCAAAGCAACATTTTCAGAAATGTTTGCTTGTCTTGCAAAACACTCTCAAACCAAGTTACTTGTAAACCAAGGTATTACTGTATATTCATATGTAAATATACAATTGTCCTCCTAGGTTGTGCATTTGTTTTATCAGAAAAGCAAATATTAAATATATCAGTGCCATTTCCTAATTTACTCTAGATAAGTACCGTACACAAATGTGCATGTCTGTTTTATCAGGTTCAGAGCCAGTTTATCTGACCTGTATAACCAGAACAAATGATCTGTGTATGCCGTGTATAAGGTTCGATATGATTTTCCCTCATGTATCAAATTATATATAACAATAGCAGAGATTTCAGAAAAAGTTGTCACTGCTGTCATTAAACTCCAACAGAACCCTGCTGTTTGCAGACTAGGAGAAGCTTTACAAAGGATACAGACATTATACAGTGGCCATGGGAAGAGATTACAAAGTGTTTACCACCGTCTAGCACAAGAATGAAATGCATTGGTACATTTGTTGCCACAATAATGCGGAAACATCTTCACTGCTTAGAAGTCATTACT